CAGAAGGGATGGGCCACCGGCATATTCAGCAGTCCATGCTGCCTATCAGAAATATAAGAACGAAGTCTCAAGTGCCCGCGTAACCTAGGAGGTGATGTACAACGCTAATCAAAGCATTGCATTTAAGCGCGAGCAAAGCACAAAAATGAATACCTTCAAACTCTTTACGCAGGTGCACTCATCTTCTACGCGTTGCACCAATCCCGACGGCTTCTTCAAGTTTGCTCAATGGCCTCTCAATGCACAATGCACGTAGGGTCCTTCATTCATTCATTCTTCAGCAAATGATGGAAGCGGTAAGGTATTTAGATGAGAGTACAGGCTCATCTCTGAGCCAAAAATTTTACATCTTGTGTGAATAAAGCAAGCTAATTGATCTACGAATCACTGTGAGTTGATGGAAAATTGGAGGAAGGGCCAGGCTTCTGCTCCATCGCGTTCCCGTCTGACTTCATTAGATGACATGCAAAGTAGCCGCTGAGTATTCTAACAGAAATAAGGGAGAAGCTATCTATAAAAGCACATTAGTTAGAGTCAAGTCGTAGCTATGATTCCCAAATTCACCTATCCACCAGCCTATACTCGATCCGCGTGCATGCACCCCTGCATACATCCATCCATTCCGTGTTCATTTTATCAATCTCGCATTATCCATCACCATTTATCAATTCATTTATTCATCTATCCATCCTCTAATCCATCAATCTGGTCCAGATCTATTCATCGTAAAGTCACTCATCCCTTATCCATTTTGCTTGCCTTCATGAATCAATTATTTATCTAACAAGAGTTTTATCATTTGCAATCACATCTTCCAAACTGTTCACTTATTCACAGTGCTTACCTGTAATAAACAATTTTGAATGTTCCTTCACAAATTTCTAATATTCGATTTAAAATAAGACAGTCTGGTCAAGTCAACCCTCGAAATCATTCATGCAAATATCTTTGCTCTTTCAGTTACATCTCACTCGTTGCATCTTGATTCCAGCCACTAGGAAATTACTCGAAATTTTGTTTCTTCACTCAAGCCTTCTTGCCGTTTCAACTCCAACAGGATCACAAAATACTCTGCTGTCGACTGC